AGAATTCTGGGGTTCAATTTGTTAGATATTCATTTGACCACAAGCCTTTTCCCCCTGGTATTAATGAAGCTCTCATTTGCCTTATTCCCAAGACTGATAGACCTCAGTCCATCTAAAACTTCAGATGCATTTAGCTTTGCAACTCCTTTTATAAGATCCTTGTCAACAAATAGACTCAGATCTTAATTGTTTAAGGTTATCTCTCCCTTCAAGGCCAGCTTTCTTCCAAAAAGAAGCTACTCTGACAATGTGCGACTTGTTCAAGTAGCAATCTTCGAGATCAAATTTAAGAGACGAGTTAAAAAGACTCTGTGCCATTAAAATTGATTTGAAAAGGCCTTTGATAAGCTAGAGTGGCACTTTATCAGAGAAGCCATGAACTACTTTAACATCCCTGAGAAACTCTCTCGAATCATTCTTTAATGTATCTCCCTTGCTAGGCTGGCTGTTCTTTACAATGGTTCTTCCTTGAATTGGATCTGCCCTTCCAAGGGCATTAGACAATGGGACTCCATCTCCTCATAAATGGCGGAGCCAAGGGGGGTTGATGGCCCCCCAAGTTTTGAAAATTTTAATTCATAATATATAAATATATGTATAAGACAAAGTTGGCCCCTTAATTTTTTACAATTTTAATTTATATTATGAGAGTTTATATATATATATATATGTGTGTGTGTGAATTAGCCACCTTTGATTTAATTTTTTCTTTAAAAAAAGTTATTCATTTTTTATTGTACTAATTATTTAACATTCAAAAATTTAAACATATAATTTGATGATCCATAGTAAATTGACCCAATTTAATGCATTATAATAAAAGACTCAATTCATAATTATCAATGGACTAAAACAAAAATAATTACTTTATTGGTCCATATACAAATATACAACTTAGTTTAATTGATAAAAAATTTAAAATTAGTGATCTATCCTCTTGTTAACCCATATACAAATATACAAATAATTACTTGAAGGCTTGGTGAAGACAAGAAATTGAGTGATATATCTTGTTGTTGACAAATTGATTATATTTATTCTCATTCTTCTTATATGAACTGCAACTATAGAGCGTGCATTTTCAATTATGAATATAATCAAAATAAAGCTCCAAAACAAGATAAAAGATAATTTCTTGAACGATTGTCTAACAATGTACATAAAAAAAAAAGAAGTTATTCAAAAATTTAGCACTGATTCAATTATAAATGAATTTAGTTCTATGAAAGAATGTAAAACTCAATTTACTTTTAAGAAAAGAGGTTGAAATTTCAAGGTATGCTAACATAACTTTTATCTTTTATTAATTGAAAATAGTTATATTATATTGTATAGTTATATTTTTGTTTTTGCACAAGTGACATATTGGAGCATCTTCTCATAATATAAAATTTGGGTAGTTTGTGATGTTATAAGATATTTAATCAAAGGTTATTTTTTGTCCTAAATTTTGTTATAACTATGCTACATATTTATGAAATAGACATACCTTTATAATTAAAGTTACTATTTGATATTTTAAGATGTCATATATTTAAATAGATGGAAATTATTTTAAACATAACATATTAAGATAATTTTGTTCAGAAAAATTTTGGCCTCCCTCTCAAGGAAAAAATCTTGGCTACATTCTATAGTCTATAGAATTGACATTTTCAATTATGAAGATAATTAGAACAAAGCTCCAAAACAAGATAAAAGATCATTTCTTGAATGATTGCATAACAATGTACATAAAAAATGAAGTTGTTCAAAAATTTAGCATTGATTCAATTATAGAAGAATTTAGTTCTATGAAAAAACGTAAAACTCAATTTACTTTTAATAAAAGAGGATGAAATTTCAAGGTATGTTAACATAACTTTTATCTTTTTTTTTTAATTGAAAATAGTTATATTTATATTGCATAGTTATATTTTTGTTTTTGCACAAGTGACATATTGGAACATCTTCTCATAATGTGCAACTTAGGTGGTTTGTGTTGTTATAAGATATTTAATAAAATGTTATTTCTTGTCTTAATTTTAGTTATGACTATGCTACATATTTGTGAAATAGGCATACATTTATAATTAAAGTTAATATTTGATATTTTAAGATGTCATATATTTAAATAAATAAAAATTATTTTGAACATAACATATTAAGATAATTTTGTTTGAAAAAATTTTGGCCCCGCAAAGAAAAAATCTTGGCTCCGTCTCATGTCATAACTTTTTCATCGTGTGTATGGAATACTTTTCGCTATCTATCAGTTAGGTTGTTTTATGAATCTCAGTGGTGCCTCATTACCTTTGGTCCCAATAGCCCTACCTTGTCCCATTATACCTATGTTGATGACATTATCGTATTTGCTTAAACAAATACATAATCTATACCAGAATGACACCAGGGTAGTTAAAGACCTTTTTAACTCCTATGAGGGATAGAATTTGGAAGCACTCTCTACCATCCTTCTCAAAGGGATCAGTCAGGAAACCATGGCTATACCTAGACAGCAATACAACCCGTCGTCTGACTTTATTAAATGGGAGAGCTCTCTGGATGGTAATTTCTCCTTTAAATCAGCCTATTCTCTTACACTTCTTCAGAGAGAGCAAGACCACTCCCATCATTTTAACTCCAGCCTTTCTTGGATTTGGAGCCTGACTGTAACCAACAAAATTCAAGAATTTTCTTTGGCTATTAGCACAAAATAAACTTCCCACGAGATAGCAACTATTTAATAGGCATATTCTTTCTGGTAGCTATCCCTTTTCAATGAAGACTATAATCATGCATTGAGAGGCTGTCCCAATGCATTATATCTACCTTGTATATAAGAAAGGAGCAAGGTTTAGTGTTTTCCTTTCCTTATGTCACGTGGCTTCTCAATTATTTGACAAGTGGCAATGTAAAATGTTTCTTGCAAATTGTCTAAAGCTTTCTCTTGTCCGAAGCCTTGTATTTCTTTCTTTTGGCATGCAACCGTTCCTTTCTCAATTCTCATTAGTGCTCCCCTTATCTTTTGCCCCAGGCTTTTTAATTCTCTGACAAGTTGACCGACGCTTGACCGAAGCTTTTTCCTTGCAACTTGACCGAAGCTTTTTCCTTCATTTGGCATTCCACTGTTTCTTTCTCAGTCAGATAGCCGTTGAAACCTTTTCCTCCTTTCTCTCTACCACACGCGGCACACCTATTCTGAGCAAGTCCAATTCCAAACGCCTATACTACCAAACCCAGCAGGTCAGCAACCCTCTTCAAGCATGTAAAAAGTTTGGATTTTTTCATGATTTGGGAGATGGGCTTTGTGAGTTCCTTCTTCAAGCCAGTGGGTCAATGCTACTTCTGCAGACGCTTGATTTGCTGATCACTCACATGGTGTTTGTACTTCAGACGAGGAAAATTGGGAGCAGGTGAACTACTTAACCCATTTCTGTATCAATTTCATGTTGCCCAATTGTTGGACACTCACGTGATAATTGTACTTTAAAGGAGTGAAATTGGGGATTTTTTGTTAGATTAGGTATGGCATTCTATTCTCATCAGCTTTGCTATTCAATTTTCCGCTCAAATCATGCTTTCTATTCAATTTTCAGCAGCCGTACGATTATGATAAGGAATATCTGTTTAGATGTGATTTTCCCTTTATTCCAGTTATGATAAGAAATAGGTTTCCTATTCACTTAGCCTGTACTTTTTCCAGTGACTTACGAAATCAAAAACATGGAATAGATGTATTTATCAGTGCATGGTGCTGGCTCCTCTGCCTTATGAACTGCAAGAAGAAGCTTTCGAGTCTTTACACCTTGTTCTCTAGAGTCTCTTTGGTGAGAAAAAATCTTCCCCTTTTTTTTGCCAAATTTTCCACGTATAAATAATACATAGATTAATAAATTCTAATATACATATGTGCTTCAACTGATAGGTTCTTTTGCTGCGGTTCCTCCAAGGAATCCTGTAGCTTGAAGGTCAGTTTGTTGTCTTTCTTCAATCTATGAATAGCTTTTCCTCATCTATGTGACTATATTTTCATAAGTAAAATTTCACCTTTCCCTTTTCTTTTTAGTAGTTTTTCTTCAGTTTCTGCTTCATTTATTTTAAGTTTATTGGTGCTATTTGTTTTGTGTGATCCTTTGTGAAACAAATGATTGCTTATTTGAGCAGGTGATTTTGTTAATATTGACAGTTATACTTTTTCTGCAAATAAAGCACAATAAATAAAGGAGAAAATTGGTAAAACCTTAAAGCTTGATGCATACATTCTTCATCATCCACTCCAAACTCCAGTGGTTGATGGCATTTTTAAGAGTCCAATGAGCCTGTTGATGCCTACAACCCTTTGGTAATCTTCTTTTGTGTCCTGTTGCAACCCTTTGACAATTATGCTGCTGCAACCCGTTCAGCTACCCATTCACCTAAAAAAACAAGCCAAAAATGAAGATACCAATCCAGCTCCCAATTCAATAATCCTTATTTTAAAATTTGGTGAATTCCTGAAGCAATATATTATTAGTGGCATACCTATAAAAAGGAGAGATCCATTTGCTGATATTATTCTGGGTAACTAAGCTGTCCTATTGGTTTGCATATAATCAATGTTCTATCAAATAGTCAAATTGCTATATACACTAGAAAAAAGATTGTAGTAATGGACATCAATACCAGATTTTGTGAACCAAAGTCATTAGCAACCTCCTGCTACTGGTGCTTTTGTCTTTAATCACAATGAAGTTATGCAGAATCTAAGTTAGTTTTTCTTACAATATACATATGTGATTTATGTGACCTGTTGTTGTTCTAAATGAGGAATGTGAGTGATTATCTATTTTTTAGAGAACTTTAAGGTGGCAAAGCTTGTTTAGTGATCTAAGTGCCTATTGGTTAAGCAACTTAAGACTTTGTACTTGTTGTTTCTAATTGATTACTTAGTGTGTGACTTGTTTGCTGTTTCGTTTAGTCTAGACTTGTCTAGGGCAATGAAAAGACCGATGGTTACTTTCTTATTAGTATAGATAACAATGGCAAGGAGATGTCTTTCAGTGCATGAAGTCCACGACAAGATGAGAAGGTGGACAGTGCTTGTGCAAGTTGTGGAGAAATCGCACGTGTTAACCAGTAACGGATCGCCGCCTATCAGATTTCAGCTTCTCGTCTTAACAGATTCTGAGGTGATATAAGCTGAAACTAATCTTAGCAATTTAACATTTCCTAAATCATCAACATGTCCAGATTATTAATTATCCTTTGTGCAATTTAATTTCAGGCCAATTACTTTTTAATATTGGTTTCTTTTTATGTTTCTTGGGTAAAATTGTTTCGTTGGAACTTAAAATAGCAACGCTTGCAAATTGACTATAGTGAAGTTCTGATTTAACTTACATGATTCTACCCTATAATATTCCACGGTTTATTATTAACCAATGATATATGCCTAATCAGTATAACTTTCTGCATGGGAGATCATGTATAGTGATTTGAAAATGTTACAATTTGGATGCATTTGAGTGTCTCAATGTGCATTCAATGACTAAAACGAAGTACTGAGAACTTACGGAAATGATTTATAGTAAAAGAGGAAAACACAGCAACTGTAAGCAAGAGTAGTTCACCTATTTCCAATTTTTCTCCTCTGGACTTACGAAGTACAAAGAACTTCTTGAAATTTTCAAGAAGGAAAAGAATCTGAAAAAAAATCCTCCTACTAACGTGACCAATAGCTGCTAAAGTATCTATACAGAAAGCGTTTTAGATTTTTGCTACTTCAATTCTTTCGAAGAGTCCCACGTTTTCTGCTGTTACATATCCCTGTATCTGAAATGCTTTTTTGCCTTTAAGGAAAGTTCAGGCAAAGGATAGCAGTCTCTTGATAACATTAATTGATAGAAGTCTCTTGTCTAATTCTTTTCTGGTTTTTCTACCATTTTTCTACATAAATGTCTCTGATTATTCTTAGTGATTTGCTTCTTGCAACTCAAATATTGTTGTTATATGTTTTCTTCCCCCTCTCCCTCCAAAAAAAAAAAACTCTGCATACTTGCTGTTGTATGTATCTCACCTTGAGTGTTCTACTTTAGCCTTTTAGTTAATATTGCTCATCTTGGTTCTTTCTGTGAACAGGGGACTATGGTTTCAGCTGTCATTTATGGAAATGACATTCGTTATTTTGCTAATCTACTGCAACCATTCAAGCGATACTATATCACTGGTGGGACTGTAAAAAAACAGGATGCAAAGTATAAAATTAGTGACTATCACTTCTCATGGGTGATTCATAACAAGACATTAGTTGAAGAGTATGTCGAGCCAAATCCACCAATGCTACCATGCACTTTTGAATTCACCAAATTTGAAGACCTTTTTAGGTTCGCAGACACGGAGAATGTTCAGAGTAAGTTATATCTATGCTTTACTAATTGAAATATAAATTCATTTTCATATTTCCTTTAATTATTGAAACACAGCTAACCTCTTCTCTTTTGGTTTGTACAAAGGTTTACAAGCTATTGTCATCACTGCATTTGCGACAAAGGAACAGAATAACGGCTCTACAACAAGAGACTTCATTGTTATGAATGAAGAGTTAGTTATATGAACCTTACTTTTAATATTTCTATTCAATGCATAAAATTATTGCATTCATATTTTTCCCTATTTTTCCTCTCTTTTGTAAAGGAAAAAACCAATGCTTCTTACTCTTTGGAATGAGTTCGAACAAAATCAGGGAACACAGCTTGCAAACAGCATTGGGAATGCCAACGTTATCATTGGCATGAAACTGAAAATCACAACTTTTAATTGTAAGTGAAGCTAATATACTTTTAACAGCTCATACTTCTATGGTAGTCATCCAGTTAGAATAACTTAGCCAATCACTGGCTTTTAAATTGCTCTATTACTTAATGAAAACTATTGCTTTTATTATTAGACTTATCCCTGACAACCAAGCTTGGGAGTGGCCTTCTGATTAATCCTCCCACTTCTGAAGCAAATGCACTCAAAGAATGGTACGTATGTTCTTTGATCATTTAAGTTAAACTTTTCTAGATCCCTTTGATAAATTATAGTCTGTTGCATTGATTTTTTGGATAGGTATAATGCAAATAAAGAAAAAGAAGAAATTGGAGAGTTGATAAAACAAATGGCATACAAAGATTCATCTAAGCTGCTGCCACCTTCAAGTACTAATGAGATGATCAGTGTAGCCAATGCACTTAACACACTCAAAGATGTAATTTTCTTTTTCGTTTATAACATGATTTATATCTTTTAGCCATCCAAAATAATGCAAGACTCAGGTGTTTTTCTTTCTGTTCACAAAAACATCTATTAGGTGAAAACAGCTTGGATAACAGGAAAAACCAGTTTGACCCCTGGGCAACAAAAATTCTGGTTTGAAACATGTGAGAACTGCCAAAAGGCTATCAATGTTGATGTAGGATGGGTTATGAGATGCCCATCTTGCAAAGAAGAGAGCAAAGTTGTAGCAAAGTAATTACCAAATTAAGTTTCCTTCTCTTGTAATGAAAAATTAGAATATAATATTTTATTTCCAATGTGTAATAGGACCCGAATTGGGATTACTGTGGATGATGGTACGGGCTCCATAAACACTGTTATCTTTGGCCTTGATGCTGAAAAGTTTATCCCATTTACAGCTCTTCAATTCTGGGAAGCTCATAATGAGGTAAGCTAATAATCTTGGCAACAAAAATTGCTGCTACAAGTTTAACTCTTGCATGATAATATAACTACCAGTTTAATACATTTTGCTTAATGTTGTCGATTCTTTTTCCCTTCATAGATTTCTTCATTTTCCCCTTCAACTACCATGAACTTCATGTGCCTATATTTCTGCTGCCCATTATAGTTTTCTATATTTCTGCTGACTTGAAAGTTTCCTATATCATGTGGACTATATTTCTGGTGGAATTGCCAGTTTCATTTTTGTTTTCCATTTTTTTGTTGTTTTTGTGTGTGATACTCAGCCAGTTGGTTTTCCTGCTAATTTGAACTTTCATGCTTGTAGCCTTTTCTATTAGTTACTGAGGCCACAAACTGTCAAATTCTTACTGTTGTATGATGATAATTTATTAGAAATTTAGTTGTAAGAAACCCATAAAGCAAAAGGAGGGGTGGTGATATTCAGGAAAAAACAATGATAGCTGTCAATAGGTACATTTTTCTGGATAAGGTTCTGAGATTTGAGTCCAATTGAGCTATCCTGTAAATGGGATATCGAGTTACCTCTTCCAGCGCCTTCTTTGCTAGATTTGATTGGTTTTAAGTAAATAAGTAAATAGAAATTTTGTGCACAATTGGAACTGTATATTTGATACTAATAAAGTTTGTGCACGATTGGACAATTAGAGCATTGGACATTCTTCGCTTGACAGATCCAATCTCAATCGAATTGGAACTGCATGTCCAGAATGAGTCAAATAATTTAAACAGACTCATAATAGTCTGATGAGTAGGCACAAGTAATAACTACCGAATAATCTGATTTTTATGCTTCTTTTCTTGGGTATGAATACTGCTCTCACCATGTAAAAGTGTAATGATTGTAGGAAACAAAAGATTATTTGGCTTTGCCATCATTCACAGTAATTCCATAATGTCTTGGGTATAATATGTTTTGTTTCCTTCCATAACTTATGATTGGGATCCAATTCTTTTTACACAACATGAAGTTACTCAAAATTTGAATATCATTGCCCAAGTCAAAATCTACAATAAGAGCTTCTACTTCCAAACAAATAGCTAATATTTCAGGATACACTTGCTAATTATTTATACTTTAAAACAAAAAATTGTAGGAGCTTAACTTTTCTACTGAACTAGCATCTGCAATCGGAAAGCATTCGATTGTGTGTTTCATTCGCTACTATGAGGCAGATTATCAAGGCCAGAAGGAAGGCAAGTATAATATTGTCAAGGCATACACTATTGAGGAATCAGTTCACATTTCAATGGCAATCACGACTGCAGAAACGAATGAAAAAATTCCAGACCTTCATGCTACTGTCCTGCAGTCTGCCAAGAAAAATGAATTTTTCAGTCCATCAACCAAAAAATTGCTTGATACCATCGCTGAATCTTCTGCTACTGCAAACAAAGTGCCGCCTCTAGTGACCACAACAAAAAGGACCTTGGTTTTTGGAACTGTGCCTTCTGAAATTGGTTTGAATTTTGCTGAAGCTAATACATCTACCTTGCTGCCCACCAATGCACCTGGAAGTCCCTTGAAGAAATAGCGTGATTATGAACTCTGAACTTCCTTGAAGCCTTTTGAATTGCTAATTTTGCTAATGTTGAAGCACTTTACAGCTGAATTACTAATCTTGCATCTTTTGACATAATATTGACATCCATTAAGAAATTGTTCTTTTGTGCACCTTAATGGATCTCAATATGTGATTTTTTGTAATTGCCGCCTATCATTGCACTTTATATTAAGCATTCAACAAGTCATCTCCTATCTCTGTAAGACTAACTTGCACTTGAAGATATCAAGTTGTTTGTAACACTACTTGCCAATCTTTTGTCATCTTCTCTTATCTTTTGCAATGCTAATGATTTTTTGATTTTGTTTAGTCTTATATTATTAGCTGCATGCTTGATTGGTAATTTATAATTTTAAGAATGCTATTTCACAAACATTACTGTTAATCTTACCTTATACGAAAATATATGACAATAGATTATAGGGGGCCTAGGCTGTGCTTAGCACAGCCGATAACCTCCTAGTTTCTGGAAGATGATCAAATCCCCTTTCTTCAATCACCCCAAGCTTTTGACATTTGGCTCAAAGGCAACTATAGGGATTCCTTCCCATCTCTCTACAGTTCCATTCCCTAGAATATTTTCTTTGCCTTTGCTTGCTGAGTACTGTGGAATAACAAGAACAAACCCTATTCAAGCCTGCTAAATCTGGGAAATATCCCTACATGCAGCCCCTATTCAAGCCTGCTAAAGCTTGGAAATTTCCCCACATGCAGGCCCTCATGCTAGCCCAAGAACAATTTGCTATCAAAACATCCTCTTATCACCTACAACTATCCAAGACTCAAGTATTCATTGGCTGGGCCCCTTCACCACTTAGATGGTTTAAAGTGAATACAGATGGCTCATGTTTAGGTAATCCTGGTCCAGGAGGCTGCAGGTGCCTTACACGACATCACTCAAGCACTTGGATCAAGAGATTTGTTCCAGAACTTGACAAAACCAACACCTTGCTTGCTGCATGTTGGGGTGTCAAGGATGGTCGTGAACTTGCCAAATCTCTGGCCTCCAAAATTTAATACTAGAATGCGGTTTTGAAATTGTTTTGAACTTGCTTAACAATAGTGGTGGATTCTCACGCATTAGCTTTTATTCTAAATGATTGCAGGGCTTTGCTCATTGACTTCCAATGGATTCGAGTAAGGCACATCTTGAGAGAAACTTATAAAGGAGCAGATGTGCCAGCTAGGATGAGTGAAAGCCTTTTGTGTTCCTTTTCACTTGTTGATTTCTGCCCTCCTAGCTTAGGTTCCATTTTGTCTCATGATTTGAGGGGTGTCTATTTCCACATTTCTAGATTGTAATATTTTATATTATTTAATGGCATTATTTTTCTTACCAAAAAAAAAAAATTCAAGCTTAGTTGTGCAAACCAACATTTTTAAACTCGAATCGGGAAGTGAACTGAAAAACTTTCTGATTCGTGGCTCGACCAATTTGACCCTAATTCAAAGGTTTAATAATTTTTTTATTTATTGTAGTATTAAAAAATTTTGAATAAATTTGGAATATTTATTTTAGAAAATAAATAATTAATGAAAATAAGTTAAACCTTCTGATTTTTACCTGTTCAACCAGTTTTTGATCGAATTTGATTGTTTCAATTGACTCTTTGGGTTAAGTATTGAATCGGACTGGTCGAATCTACTGGTCCGGTCCGATTCAAAGTATTGCTTTGCAAACAACATGGAATCTGTAGCTTTCCTTACCGGGTTCAAGCTCATCTAATCATTGACTATTGGATCTAAGGGTTGAGGCTTCTCTAATTTCCGCTTTGAAATTGCACCATGCAATGTATGGTGTAGACATTTCCATTGGACCAATTCAACGAATTACGCTCCCACGGGTAGCTCGGACGGTGCGCTCCACCTCTTTAGAGTATGGCCACTTACCTGGCAACCAGGGTTCGAGTCCCGTGGCTTACGTCTTCGGTGTGGAGTGGGTAGGGCTGCAAACGAATCGAGCCGCTCGCGAGCCGCTCGCGAGCGGCTCGAGTCAAGCTCGAGTCGAGCTCGACATTAATCGAGCTCGAGTCGAGCTCGACATTAATCGAGCTCGAGTCGAGCTCGAGCCAAACTCGAGCTCGAACTCGAGCTCAGAATATTAAGCTCGTTAGCTCGCGAGCCGGCTCGCGAGCTTGAGTATATATATATTTTTTTTTATTTTTATTTTTATTTAATAATAAAATTACGTATATTATATATATATTTTTTTATTTTTTATTTTCATAGTGAAATTACGGATATATCCTTAATATTTTATTATTTATTCAGAAAAAAATATTATTTTATTTATTTTTTTTTAAAATAAAATAATTTTTTTTATTTTTTTCGAGCTCGAGCTCGGCTCGACTTGATTCGAGTCGAGCTCGAGCTCGAAAATTGCCAGCTCGTCGAGCTCGAGCTCGAGCTCGAGCTTGATAAAATTTAGTCGAGGCTCGGCTCGATTAGCTCAAAGCTCGACTCGGCTCGGCTCGTTTGCAGCCCTAGGAGTGGGGCCTCCTCTCCCGGAGCGCAGGGGGATTAGTCGGGTCCCGTAAGGATTGACCCGGACACCAACATGTGTCGAAAAAAAAAAAAAAATTCAACGAATTACAACTAACACTTAGCTAGACTAACAACTTACTAAAGCTTGAATCCCAGACCTTGAGATAATGGGGATTTAATCTTTATTAACATTACGACAGCAAACACAACAAATTTTTTTCTGTATATGATAATTCTATTCAACAATCAATTCCGTTCAACAAAATTCAGATTAAATCAATTGCACCATGCAATTCTCAATTGCGTAGAATTCCAATTCCAGTCGCTAACTACTGAGGAAGTACGATCATGAGTGACCACACGTTTATATTCTATAAGTAATACTATATCATATCAAAATTCAAAGACTGGTTTACCAAAGTTACTTTGCCCAACAACCTATCGCTTATTGACGTTTGGCATGTGAGAAATTTCAGTTCTGCACTCTTGCAATATCTCTATGTAAAATTTGCTAAAACACAGGAGATTCCACTTATTCTTTTTAGCGCTGTCCCCCGAATTTTGTAAAACAATTGGTGCTAGACGATATCAAACAAGTTCATTTATAAAATTTTTCTTTTTCTTAAAAAAAAAAAATTTCACATCTGATTTGAGTCTAAATAGTAAAAATCTTATTATGCCTCTCGTGTTGCCGGGCTCCACTGGTTGTAATTGACATTTTAGACGAGTTGACAATGTTGTATTATACAACATTCATAACTTTTTTTTGACAGCTTTAATTTTGAGTGCAAAAGCAGTCTACATGTAAAGTAGCAACACGTGTGCAACTTTGCCAGTCTAATAGATATATATTAAATTTTAACCCCTTCATATGTTGCACGTAGCAACAATTCAAAGAATAGGCATTATGTTAATCGTAGAGCTGGCAAAAAAGTTCAAAACTCAACAACTCGCTCAACCCGCTCATTAATTTTAAATTGTGGGTTGGCTCAATTGGGTTATGGGTTTTATTGGATTAGGTAAGAACAACCCAACTTATTCATTGGGCGGGTTGGATTTTTTATTTGAGTACCCAATACCCAACTTGTTTAAAAGTAATTCAAAATAATAAATACAAGATTTAATACATATATGCCCAACTATTTACATTTGGACATGTGTTAATAAATCATTAATTAATTTGTATTCAAAATTCTCATATATATATATATATATTTTTTTTTCAATCAATCTTTTAATTTTTATTTAAAAGAAAAAAGAAATTTGAAATAAAAACTCATGCTTATTTTACTTTTATAACAGTAGTTAAATTTGCTCAATTTCTATAATAATTTATTATGCCTTTTAAGAGTATGTTGTTTTCCTCCCCTTTTTTCTTTTTTTTTTTGTGGTAAAAATGTCAGAATAGTTCATGAATTCTCCTCTCATTTATTTCTTAAAAAGTTTGGGATTTTCCTTAATAATTTTTTGGGGACCAATACCAGTACTTTTTACAAGCATATAATTATTTCTGCTTTATATTAGAGCTGTGGTAATTCTAAAAGATTAATATGACCATAGCATCAAGTATGATCCTAGATGATTCTAATTAATTAGGTGATGAATTATCTAATTGTATCAAATCAATAAAAAAATACCTTCTAATATATATTATATGTATATAGATCATGATATTAACTTTGAATCAATATAGTTGACTTGCAGATTCTATTTTTTTTTTTTTTGATTAATTATGGCAACTTGGGCATGGCTAGTCCAACGATTTCATTTCGTCCAAAGCAAATACCGCCAATCTTCAACTTCATGAGAAGCTTACAATCAGCAAGACAATTAATTTTTCCTCTTAATTAGCGAGTCCAAGAACCAAATTGTAGTAATGTCACCAGTCATTTAATGGAAGAAAGCAATTTGCATATTATCCCCAGAATGTAGTTCTGATGCACGGACCTTTCACAACAGTTTGCAAAATTTCTAGAGTCATGAATCATAAAATTTTTGAGAATATAAGGACTAAAGTACAAACTTATTTTCTATAATTTCAAAATTATTATACAACAAATTATATGTCTCTTACTTACATTTTCAAGTATAATATAATCTAGCATTCAATAATTTAAATACATAGAATATTACAATTTACGATAAAACAGATATGAATAGTAAAAGTGTTAATAAGTTGTGACAAAAATAAGTTTCAATCAATTAATAGTATTAAAAAAGTATAAAGTAAACAATTAGCTAATCTATTTAAATGTATAATTTATTATATAAAATTCACAATACAAGCAATATAAAATATTATTCTATTTATGATGTGTTTCCAAGGAACTTAAGAAGTGAGTGTGTGTGAAAATACATTTATGTATGTGAAAATGTGTTTATATGTGTGAAAAAAATCTTTTTTTGTGTGTTAAAATGTAAGTGAAAAAGTTTATGTATTAAAATGTATTAATTAATTTGTTGGGTCATATTTGGGTCATGGGTTT